TTAAAATCACCGGTTTATAACAATCCTATTATAGGAATTGTATAAAAAAGATAAAAACTCTGAAAATTCATTGATAAAACGGCTGCACTTTTTTGGTGGCCGATAGATGGTTACTGCTAAAATTTCGGGGCTGCTAAAAACAAGGGCATGATACTCAAAACTTGAGTATTGGTTAAAATTAATGGTTTTGGTGGCCAGGGTGTTTTTCCAAATTGAGGCTGTGCCACCACCTCTTCTTCCTTCTCTTGTTTTAAAAGCAAAGCTAAAATCGGGAGGGGAGGCCTCTGTGAGAACAGCCGGAGCATCCGGACCCAGCCAGGTCTCAGTTAAAAACATAGCATCCAGTTTGTGTTGTAAAATCAAATCATTAATGATAAAAGTTCTATTTAAAAGAGAGCGTACATTTAAAAGAGCAAACCTGATGGTGGATGGAGAGTCATTTTTGTTTGTAGTGAGGGGAGAAGATGATGTGGAGGAGCAAAGGGCAACAGGGATGAGGGTGTTGAGGGACGGTTTCCGGAGTATGGACGGTCTGTAGGGGCGGGGTCTGGACAGAACTGAAATTCCTTGTTGGGGGGGGGAGCAGGGACTGATGTTGGAGTCCAGCGGGGCAGGAATGATGTGGGATGGAGTGATGGGTTGTCAGAGGTGCGGGGGACGGGATTGAACTGAGTGGGTGATGTTTGAAATCAGGTACCGGGTGCCGAGTTTATTGATATGGAGTCCATCGGGTGTGAAGAAGGGGTGGCGGTTCCAGAACAAATTAAAATTGTCAATAAAACCAAAGTTGTGCTGCTGTGATGATTTTTGAAGCCAAGTGGTGAGTGATAGTATCCTGCTAAAACGTTCCACGCCCCGGTTCAACGTGGGCAGAGGGCCAGAGATAAAAACACTTTTTCCGGTTTTTGATAAAAGGTTAAAAAGGTCCTTAAAATGGAGTTTGGTGATTTCAGATTGGCGGAGTGCAGCATCATTTGTACCAACATGAATTATGATCCGGGTTATTGTGGGGGGTGCTGTCTGTAGAAGTGCGGGTAGTTTAGTGAGGATGGTAGGGACAGTGGCTCCAGGAAAGCAGTGCGTGATGGCATTGAAGAACTTACAGTGTTTGATGATAGAGTCCCCCACCAGGAGTGTAGTTGGTGCGAATAGAGGTCGTGGAGGGGAGGGTGTGACTGGAGTAGGGCCCGGGGGAGAGCAGGGGACAGGAGAGCGTTGGGATGCGCCCGGAGCAGAGCTGCTGCGAGCCCCGTGAGCTGCAGTGGAGCAGGAGGAGGGAGCCGGAGACCGAACCGGCGCCCCTGCAGCGGGGTTGGTGGTGGTGGTAGTGCGGGCGGTTGTGGGAGGGCCATGCCCCGGGCGGAGAGATCCTCCAGCAGGCGAGACAGCCTCCGCGGGGGAGCTCCGCGCTGAGATAAAGCGCAGAGACCCCCCCGCGGGCGAGGCAGCAACTACGGGAGGACTCTGCGCCGCGGCACGGCGCAGGGACCCCCCCGCGAGCGATGCAGCGTCTACGGGAGGACTCCACGCCGTGTCAGGGCGCAGAGGTCCCCCCGCGGCCACCTCAGCGTAGGACCTGCTTTGTGTCTCGCCTCTGGGGATTCCCTCCGCGTCAGAGCGCACGGACCCTCCCACAGCAGGGACAGCGCTCCCGGGGGTATCCGGTGCCACGTCGGGGCACAGAGATCCCCCCGGGGCTTCCCGCAGTTGGTCCTGCGTGACACCCGGAGAGCCCCGCGCTGTTTTAGAGCGTGGGAAGCTCCCCGAGCGTCTGCGCACAGCCTCCTCCACCAACCTGCGGCGCGAGGACGCCGTGGATGTCGTGTGGCCTCCAGGCCTCTGCTCCACGCCGCTCTGGGTATGGGCAGCAGGCTCCGGGACTGAGGAGGAGGGAAGAGCACCAAGAGGGACAGCTGCAACCGGGGAGCGTGAGGTAAGCACCGGGGTAGAGCATGATGAGGGGTGAGGACAGGCGATTGGATCCCAGAGTGCAGTGTCGTGGAGCTGTGATTGTGTGAGTACGGAGAGGGATATTTGCTGTGACTGTTTGAATGATATGTCCATGAAATGTTCCAGAAGTTTCTCTTTATGTATGAGTTCGGTGGATAGTTCTTTGACAGTGCGCTGAAGTTCCTCGGGGGTCATGGTGTTTACAGGTTTGGATGGGAGGATTGAAGCCAGTTGTGATTTGTATATCTGTTTGTATGAGTTCGCGGGGGGAGCATCGGTGTCCATGGTGATGTGTGTGGGCAGGCTGGTTACCGGTAAAAGGCTGATAAACAGTCCTGTTAAAAGTGACAGTAATCCTTTTTTATGCAGTCTGTTAAAATCCGCTTACTCCGTCGAGTAGGGCAAAATAAAACCAGTAAAAGAAACTTAGTTTAAAAATAAATCATAAAAAACGTGCAGCTCAAAAAAGGCTCCAAACAAATGCGATCACACAGGAGCGGTCCCATTTACGCTGCTACTTTGTCCTCTTCAGAACAACAATAGCAAACAAAGCTACTACTTACTACTACTTACTTACTACTGTAGGTTTATGTGATAGTTTTATGGATTCATTATTTTATAAGTCATTTCAACTGTGATGCTGTGAATAAAGACACAGTTCTTGTTGGAAACATAGTTATTATAAAATAGTTTTCAGCACAAACAGCAAAACAATAATAGTGGTAATTATCTGAGACAAACATGAACGATTTACGAGTGCAGGAGGAAAGCAACAAACGCAGCTACGATTCAAACAAGACAGGAACAAACGACTGCACAGTTTATAAGTTATATATATGTTAGATAGTCCACAGTCTCCTGTATATCAGGCTCTGAGCCCAAACTGCTTTTCCTTCGAAGCGTGAAGCAGTCTGCTCCATAGTGCCTCGTCCATGTCCCTGCTGCAGCCGCTCCATGCTTCCTTCCAATACACACACACGGACCAATCACAGCGGAGCTTCCTTGCGGCGACCCTTACGTAGTTAGAAAATTTCGATGCTGCGCGGCAGGCAACGTAAGGGCCTTGCGGTGACCAACGCGTTGCGCAAGTGACGTCACGTCACCTCCGTAAGCTCCGCGCCGTGCGAGTATAAACTAGGCTTAAGGCTAGCAACTTCCAAACTAGAACTCTCTGGAACTGCATGAAAACTGAACAAAGAATTCTGAACATCAGTGATGAGTGACCCAAACATAAACTCAACCTAAATCCATAATTAGATCCTCTGCAAATGTTCCTGAAATGTCTCGGAATCTACTTCCGGGTTTTTCGCAATCGCTTTTTCTCGCATTCACTGCATGAAAAGTGTGATTTTCGTCTCTTTTCGGCCCTGTATATTACTGTGAAACTTCTGGGATTCGGCAGTTTGTTGTCCCCTCCTCCCTCCTCCACAGGAGGCTTTAACATGTAAATGGGAATGCTGTGAGCTATACAAATGCTAATCAGGGTTGAGGGGAGCATAACTTGATCCATGCTGCACAAGTACTTTCAGTCAGTCTGCACCTTGGATCAGGTCACACACTGTAGACCCGGATTTTGTAAATGCTCAAACTGTTTATACACACACACACACACACACACACACACACACACACACACACACACACACACACACACACACACACACACACACACACACACACACACACACACACACACACACACATCAGATAAATATTTGATCATGATTGATTATAGCTTGTCATGTCAAAATCAATTAAATAAATCCAATAGGACAAAAGACATGTTGAAAGTGTAAGTGCTCATCAAAGGATATATGTATGTACAGTACAGACCAAAAGTTTGGATTTGTTATTTTTTTTCATGACTATGAACATTGTAGATTCACACTGAAGGCATCAAAACTGAATTATGTACATACCTAAAAGAAAAAGTATGAACCAACTGAAAATATGTGTTATATTCTCGGTTCAAAGTAGCACCCTATATATATATATATATATATATATATATATATATATATATATACATATATATATATATATATATATACACACACACAAACGGCTGTTGGTGTTATCATCACTCTCTTTACACAACCAAAACTTGGGGCTTCACAAACTGAATGCGCATGTCGCGCATGCGCAAAACGCAAGGAAATACTTTGCATGAAGTCGACGGTGGAGTCTCGTGGAATGTGAAGAGAGGACTCTTTTGAATGTACGGTAAGTGTTAAGACACGTTGTTCATTTTTATAAAGGTACACTCAAAAAAATGAATAGCGGCTATTGTTGGTTTTACTTAATAACATTAAGTAGAATTTACTTTAAAAAAATAATTTCTTCACTTTTTTCAACACCATTGAGTAAATATAATGAAGTACTTTCAATTAAAATGATAACTCAAGACGGCTGGTTAGAGAAAACTTAATTGTTTTAAGTACAACATTAGGTTTGTCTTTCAGGGCTTGTGGCAACTGCTAGCTCAAATGCACTTTGTATTAATTTTATTTTTTACATGTTTTTAAATTTATTTTAAAATGTTTTAACAAACAATAAAACACAAAAACATACATTAAGAAACAAACATAAAAAACGGTGTCTTATACTGTACAATGAACTGTTGCTCACCATTTGTCTTTTTAAAATTATTATTATTCATAATAAATGTTATTATACAATGTGACAAACATGTAGTACTTGACAAAGACAAAAAAGTTGTCGTGTTTCTAACTTCTGTGGGACATGATTTCACAAAAAAGGTAATTAAATATTGTACTGTTATCAAAAAAATCACATTCACATTATGAGTTTGATTACTATAAAATGTATGTTTGAATGTGCTGTAAAGTATATCAAATAACTTTGAGTTTTTCAAAGATTCTTGAAAAGGTTGCGTATTTATTATGAACTAAATTCAAATTATTGGAATTACTAAAGTCTACTGGCCTGGAATTACATGTTTAATAAAGTGTACCAAGTTTGGTCCCGATTTGTTGCCGTAGCTGACTTCCGCTTACGTCACGTGCAATACTGTGACACGCATGCGCACCATGGGATTCCACAACGTGGACTGGGGCCGTCTGGAGGACTCGTTTTCTAGCCATCATAAGGTACTTTTATTTACTTTGCATTGATATTTTTCATGACATTTCGCTGCTAACTAATCAAACTGTCAAAGGTGTATGTATTTATTAGGCTCTCAGCGAACCTTTTCAGTAATCTGCCGACGTACCGCCATTTTGTTCGTTACTATATTTTACATAGTAAGCCCTTTCATCAGTCAGAAGACATTTTACATGAGTTTTATAGAAAATATAGGGCTGCTGCATGTTCGTGGCACTGGCACCGGTGTTCGAACGCGCCTGGAGCAGAGGGACACAGTGTTTGTGCTCGGGTCGGGTTCAAACACAATGGTACCACTCGCGGTTCTGCTCGCAGTGGTGAGGAATGTGGACGTGGATGTGTAGATGTCGATGAGAGAGCGCTGCCACGCGTTATCGCCATCTTGAGCGGGAAGTTCGTCAACCCGTTTATAATCTATTTTTAATTTGTACTTATTCAGTCTAAATGGCGAGCAGGGACGAGGCGCACAGAGCAGACTCCGAAGAAAGAACCGAAGGAAAAGCAGTTTGTGCTCATGGCAGAGCCTGATGTACAGGAGACTGTGGACTAGAGTTCTGGGGAATATCTAACACATATCATTTGTTTTGCACTGTTCCTGTCTTTGTTTGAGCGCTAAGACTTTCACTTTTATTACTGTACTTTTTCATCTCATTTGTCACTGTTGTCTTTCTGTTCATGTTTTTGTTTTTTTTATTAAGTCCATTGCTTAATAATGTTGTTGAGTGAATCTAGACCTCCTTTAAACACATTTGAGCAAAAATCATGTGATATTGTTTTATATATATTGATTATTCTTTTTTTGCTTACAGCGTGTTGCAGTCCGACAACAAGAAATTGTCATTTCTGCCCCACCTGTGGAAAATGTCAAAGCGCGCTGGCCAGCACTTCATACAGAGAGACAGGTGTGTACATATTTTTTACAACTATGCATTTAACTTGAAGTGTTTTAACTTGAAGTGTTTTATGTTTTTTTTTTTTTTTTTTGCAGGTCCTGGCAGAATTTAACCAGATCACCAGCTCCAAACTGGGCAATGATTTCGTTGAAGCATTGGATTGCCTAACGACTAGGGATGTAAAAAACTATGAATTTTCATGACCGACTAACGAGACTCATTAACCGGTTGAAACCGGTTAACCACGTAGTTTAAAATAGTCCATGTTCTTTGAAATAACAGCCATTTCGAGCCGCGTACTTTTCATAAGTGCAGCTCTGCGTTCTACTGGGTCATAGCCGAGACAGCAGCACCAAAACCCGCAACAGCTTCGGCACCTTTGCGCACAGAGAACTGCTTTTTTAATCTTCCCATTCTGCTGTGCTGCGGGTTAAAGCATTTTAATCAAAAGATTGACGCGCCGCGTCTCGCAGGTCTCCGCTCAAGTTAATATATACAGTCTATGGTATGTGTGTGTGTAAATATAAGCTCCAATGTAGTTCTGATCTGCACATATATATGTGATATATATATCACATATATATGTGATTGCTCTGTGTGTGATAACTTTCTGTAAAGCATGGAACTGCTGCTGGAGCAGGGACGAGGCGCACAGAGCAGACTGCTTCGAAAGAACCGAAGGAAAAGCAGTTTGTGCTCATGGCAGAGCCTGATGTACAGGAGACTGTGGACTAGGGTTCTGTGGAATATCTAACATATATCATTTGTTTTGCACTGTTCCTGTCTTTGTTTGAGCGCTAAGACTTTCACTTTTATTATTGTACTTTTTCATCTCATTTGTCACTGTTGTCTTTCTGTTCATTTTTTTTTGTTTTGTTTATTAAGTCCATTGCTTAATAATGTTATTGAGTGAATCTAGACCTCCTTTAAACACATTTGAGCAAAAATCATGTGATATTGTTTTATATATATTGATTATTCTTTTTTTTGCTTACAGTTGCAGTCCGACAACAAGAAATAGTCAATTCTGTCCCACCTGTGGAAAATGTCAAAGCGCGCTGGCCAGCACTTTATACGGAGAGACAGGTGTGTACACATTTTTTACAACTATGCATTTAACTTGAAGTGTTTTATGGTTTTTTTTGCAGGTCCTGGCAGAATTTAACCAGATCACCAGCTCCAAACTGGGCAATGATTTTGTTGAAGCATTGGATTGCCTAACGACACAGTTCATCAAGCTCTTTAAGGCCAAAAGGGGGTCTGCTGGCGCTAAGCTTTCCAAGATTGTCCGGCACCTCGATTCCTGTGTAAGTTCATAAAGCAATAACAAAAAGAAATGACATATGACTGTGTTTGGTGTTGTAATGCACATATGTACAGCAGAGGAGATGGGGAAAGGAGAAAGGTACACATCAAAAGAGGTACTGCTGCATTTTGTATCCTAAGATTTTTGGTACAATTGTAGATTGTCATTTTACATTTTCCACGTGTTTGTAGATGTTGGAACTGCAGGAAAACCCTGGTGACCGAGAGATCCTTAAAGATTATAATTCTGTGAGATCACTAAGTCACCGCTCTCGAAGACAACTTGACGACCTTCTCGTCAGTGACATGAGTGAAACACATGGGTATGTTGTATCCCTCAGTTATTACTCAAAAGTTCCTTCTTACAAGTGGAAGGATATTTACTCAAAATAAAATGAAAATCACTTGAAAGACCTTTCACAATAATCACGTAACAATTCAGTTTCTCTCACCACTGTTATTGATTCCCCATTGTAAGATAAATAGTACTGATCTCTTTTATAAATGACCTAGGTAGATGTTCTCCTGTAGATTATCTCTTGGTTAGGTCCCCGTGAAAATATGTACTTGTAGATACTATTAATTTAGCCTTTTTATGTAACCATGAAGTCCCTTGACCATGACTGTTTTTCTTTCCTTAGACAAATGCCTTCCCGAAAACAAAAAGAAAGCTATGCTCTTAGAATTATCACACTTTTTTCATTGAAGGATCCATTTTCTCAAAAAGGTTATGTAAGTATTGTTAATGTATCCATGGAAATTGAATTTGGTTTACCTACACGTTTTGTGTAGATAATGGATATGTATAGATAAAAATCATAACTGTACACTTTGTTTTCAGACTAATCTCGCCTCGTAATGAGACGGTGACCTCCTATTTGCTTAACACAATATCTGCAATACAATGTGAACAATAAGTCCACATTTCCACCATGTTGATAAAGACGACATTGTGTGTAAGTGTTTTACTGTTTCTCCCTTTAACCTGGTTTTAAACATTGTCAGAGAGGAGCTGTCACTTTAGCTGTGCTACAACTGAGGTATTTTATATTTATCTTTGTTAATGTACTGTGATTATTTATTTTAATTCTTTATTTTGCTCAGCACTTCGAGTTGCCTTGTGTATGAATTGTGCTAGACAAATAAACTTGCCTTACCATCGTACTTCCTGGTTCTGGTTAGGACTTGAGCTGCTGCATTTTGAATGCAGCTGTTGTTACAGTAGTCTAACCTACTGGAGACAAATGCATGGATAAGAATCTCCAGGTCTGCTTTAGAAACTATGTTTAGATGGGGAAAAAGGATTTGATGTGGCTAATAATATTTACTGATTCTTTCAGCCGCTGGAATCGAGTGTGCTAGAAAGTGACAAAGTGGAACTCTGGAAGTCCGCCACGGTAGACCTAATGTCCAATGAAGAAGAAGGCGTTGTGGACGGTGTCTCTGGATGGATTGTGCGGTCGCAGTCTTTTCGAAAGCCGGAGTTTTCTGAACTCTGTCAAGCTGCAGTCCTGGTTAGAGGCGGCGCGGAAGTACAGAGCCACGCACATTAAGCGTCTATCTAGAACGCTGCCAAATTACAACCCAGAGGAGGCTATTGGACAGTTCAGAGTTGTAATTTTTTAATTACCTATGTGTGAGCATAAAGCTGTGTGTGTGTGTTTTAATAAAGCTTTCTTTGTATGAACATATTCCTGGAAAATTTTCATTTCTTCTATAAATAATACGAATATTTATATAAATATTATTACATTAATTATGAGGCAGGGTGACCAATAGTGACAGATCTGCCAGCCAATCACGAGAGATTATACTTATTTGAAAGTAGTGATTTCATCCAATGGGGAGTAAGCTACCAATGGGGAGTAATCCCACGTGGGCTGGCCACGTGTGATTTTTCAGCCAATCACGAGTTTGAAAGTAGTGGTATCTGCCAATGCTGAATAGCAGCCTGGCCAGCCGCTGCATTCATATGCTAATGAGGGCCATTAGCGCTCGGCGGCCGCAGTGTTTCGCTGCATTCATATGCAAAGTAGGGACATTAGCATGGTACGGATGCGGCAGTTTGGAGGACAGGGCACCCTAACTGCGCCTTCTGAAAACTGCCTGAGATACCCGAAAAAGAGCGTGATTTCCTGCAGTTTAGGGTGACGAAAATCTAACTTTTCATGCAGTGATTAAAACAGTATTTTTGTCATGAAAACATTAACAGATACTTCTGAAAGTGTTAAGAATGTAAATGTATAATGTATTCTCCGATTAACTACTTGCAGAGTAATCTACACATCTGAATTACAAGGACAGAGTGTGTTGCCATGGGCAGCAGTCATTACTGTTTTGAGGTCAGTTATCAAGAAATAATGACCGGTAGAACGTTTTTAAATTACATTCAAATCAATGGAGCGTTCTGCTGCTGCTGTGAGGAGCCGTATAATAAACATTAATAACTCCGGTGAATAGATCTTATTTTAATTCTACATACAAACAAATAATTTCTAAAAGCGATAAAGGGTCAGTATTTTAAAAACGTCAAAGGGATGGATATGATAAGTAAAGAAAGTGGCAATGGTTTGAATTTGAGTCAAAAGTCTTACCCTTACCTTTCGAAACAATATAAGGTATTGCAGATATGTGTTTTTTTCATCTGTGCTGCAGTTCCACATTCGTCACTATGGCAGCGCGGCAGAGCTTTTGTCTCTGATGAGACACAGACGACTCCTATGACAAATCGTCACAAACAAGGATTGTTTCTTGGGGCACAGCTCCCTACCCTTTAGAAAAAATGCATAAAAGATTCATTCAAATTACCATTGGTAAAGAAGCCTAAACTAGAAGGTAATTAAGTCTATAGCAACTTAAAAACATATTTAATTGTGAAGACTGTCTTAAAGAAATCCCTAAGCCAATCCCAACTGCTTTACTCCATCTGATCCGAAATGCAATCATGTATTCTAATGTTCACATAAAATAAAAATAAAATGTACAGATAATAAACAATTTAATACACAATACAAAAGTTGTTATAATATAATTATATCAAAGAAGTAAAGTAAATAACAGTAGACAATCCTATAGAACACGGGAAAATTGGACATTTCGTTAAATCAAAGACTCCCTTCTCCGTCTCGTTATTGCGGTTTTGAGTTGATCCTTGTGACTTTTGATCCAAACAAACATCTGTCTTCTGCCTTAAACCAAAACCATGTAGGAAAGATGCTCATAATTGTCTATCTCAAAATATTAGAAGTCCCGTAACAGAAGAGTATTGGAAAATAAAATGATAAACATTTTAAATATATATGTGCTCTTTAACAAATGTTTTCTGGAAGAATGTTGGTCTGCTGAAAACATGTCAAAATTAGTAGTGACTTTAACAGTAGAACAGTATGTAGAAATAATGATAATGTCAGATCTGTTTTTTTGTTTATGTGTAGATACATTTGTAATGCATATTTGAACTCAAAAGTTTTTCCTTGAAAAGTATAATTGTCTCTGTATCATAGCACAGTGTCTCCAGAGTGAAGGAAAGGGCCACTACCCAGACAAGACTGCCCTCTGCTGTTAGATGTACTGATTGATGCAAGAAATTGATCCGATGAAGAAGTCCACTGAAATGTGGAGAAAAAGACAAGTAATAATTTGCAGTACAATATATAGACCAATATTCAAACCAGAGATATTTTTTGGCAAGGCTTACAAAATCACATTCCAGACATTCTACAACAAAAAACAACAGAGGAAGTGCAGCAGGTTATTTCAAACCTTGTGGCATGATTTTACAGAATTAGTGCCCGGGCGGACACCTGCAGCGTTGGTGTTGAAGAGTCACTGTAGTCTTTTTAACTACATTCAAAATACACTTACCCAATGATTACCTGGTGTATTAAAGTAATAGTCTGTAACTCAAAAAGAATTAAACATTTTAAGAATTGTATTAAATTGACCTCCTGGCCTTAAATATTGATATGAAATAAGTCATTTTATTAATTCTAATATTACGGGTAAGTCCCGCCTTCCCTTCTCTTAGCTATAGCTCAGAATCCACGATGCCGTCCATGTTAACCAACCAAGTGATGCCAAGGGCTGTCAATCATTGGCGCTCATGCTCGTAGCTGCTCATGCTCAGTTGTTTGTTTTCACGGAGCCTCCGAATCAAGCCTCTATTAGGCTCTGGAACTACATGAAAACTGAACAAAGAATTCTGAACATCCGCGCTGAGCCACCCATTTATATACTGAACCTATATCCATAATCAGATCGACTGCAGATGTGCATTAAAACACTATTTTTGTCATGAAAACGTTAACAAATAATTCTGAAAACCTCATGTGTATTAATAATGTTTATGTATAATGTGTTCTCTGATTAACATTTAAAAGTGTTACGGAAACGTAGGCGTAGACCAATCAGAAAGGAAGGGGGAGGAGCTTGCGTCGTTTTTTTTTTTTTTTCAAATCAAGTACCTCTCTCTCTCTTTCTGACAAACTGCAGACAATCACTTTAATACAACATCTGAGATTGAACCACTTGATAAAATATAATACAATGTGAATACCTTCAGTATTCCATAACAAAATACATACACAAACTTGGAGACTTAGGCAGTGCAGATCTTGTGCTCAGGTAACACAAGATCATAGGAGAGTAAGAAAGAAAGTAAGTCATCTTTATAAGGTCACCCAAAGCACTTAACAATGTTCACAGTACAGATACTAACGGCTTATTAACCGAGCGCGAGGTCTGTACAGAGCAATATCAGACCGCGGCCTTAATGTACAGACCGAGCCGTGGCGAGGTCTGTACAAAAAGGCCAAAAAACTCAAAAAACATAACACATTTTACAAGCATTGCTTGACCACA